GAAATGATCATAGGCAGGCCCGATCATGGTTTATTGGTCGAGAAATAATGCACAAGTTCCAGGATCCACGAACGATCTACAGACCTTCGGACATCATTAATGATGTTCGACGAGAGTACGGGGTGGTCATGAGCTATCAGAAGGCTTGGAAGGCTAAAGAATGTGCATTGGAGGATTTGATGGGTTCGGCTGAGGAGAGTTATGCTAAATTAGCCAGGTATTTCATTGTTTAAGTGTTTATTTCTTTGTTATTTTAAATTTTAAATATTTAATTTCAATTGTTTATTTATATGTAATTAATTATTTAATTGAATTGTTTATTTTTCTGTTCATTTAATATTTAATATATTATCTAAATTATGATTATTTTTATTTACATTGGCCAGGTATTGCTATAATATGAGAAGAATTAATACTGGGTCGGCATTTTTTATTGAGAAGAATGATGGAAATCTCTTCAAATATTTCTTTATGGCCCTTGGACAATGTGTTCGAGGATTTCGAAATGCAATGCGATCCCTAATCTTAGTCGACGGTACAACCCTTAAGGCGAGATACGGGGGCAAGTTGATTATTACAACATGCCAAGATGCGAACATCCAAATTTACCCTCTTGTGTTCGGCATAGTCGACGGAGAAAATGATGTAGCAATGAGTTGGTTTTTCATGAAGTTGAGGAAAGTAATTGGAGATGTCGAAAATCTTGCATTCGTAACCGATCGAGGGCAGTTAATAATAAATGGTATCGTCGAAATCTTCCCCGAGGCACATTATGGTTATTGTATGTACCATATACAGGGAAACTTGAAGACCAGGTATCGAGGCAATGGTGTCGTTGCGTTGTTTAGGAGAGCTGTAGAGGCTTACAATTTTGAAGAGTTTGATAAGTTCATGGTCGAAATAGACAGTAAATAGCATGCTGCATGGGAGTATCTAACAGAGATGGGGATTGAACATTGGGCACGATCACATTTTCCAGGACGTCGATACAACATGATGACGTCGAACAATGCGGAGTCCCTTAACGCTTTATTCAAGAAAGATCGAGAGTTACCAATTCTCGCAATGATTGAGAACATTCGTGACAAGCTACAACAGTGGTTTCATGATCGACGTGAGGAATCACAGAGTTGTGCAAGTGTGCTAACCCCGGCTCAAGAAGATAAGCTCTTCAAGACTCTAGATGTGACAAGAAAGGTATATGTAGAACCACTGGATCAATTTCGCTTCTCCGTGAGATGTGCACGTAATTTCGGATACATTGTGGACTTGAATGATAACACGTGCACGTGTAGACAATTTCAGTTGGAGAGTTTTCCGTGTACACATACAGTGGCAGTGGCTATGCATAGAGGATTACCATCACACACCTTATACAGTGTGTATTACATGACTGATTATTGGAGAGCAGCATATGCGGAAACAATATTTCCTGTACCAAATGAAGTCGAGTGGGAAGTGCCCGACCACATTCTCCCACTGAATAATTTGTTGTCACCAGCAGTTGGACCACGTACTCCTAGACGTACACGTACGTCTAGAATACCATCTACCGGAGAGTTTCTCCAGCCTCGTAAGTGCCGTAGGTGTGGTGCAACAGGGCATACTAGAAGATATTGTACAAGTCAAATTCCTCTACATGACAATGTAACGGATGTGTAAATTTAATAACTATTGACAATGTAATTATTTATAACATTGACGTTAATTATTTATGCATATTATTTATGTGAATTATTAGATTTAGTATTTTTTTCAAACATTTCATTCATTATATTCATTTGTTATGCATATTATTTATGTTAATTATTTGAAATCGAAACTTTTTCTAGACACTGCATTATACGGTAGGCTGCATTGTAAAATAAATATTTAAATATTACATAAATAATCAATATTTTACAATTTTTTCGTAATTACAAATAAATGAATGAACTGTACAATGTTTAAATAAATGTAAAAATATATACAATTATTTACGGATCCCCATTAAATTCAAATAAATCACATGCTAGTTTATTTCTCCAATTTTGTATCCAAGCCTGGTTGATTGCATCAACCTTATGTGCCACACTCAAAAATTCTATGTACTTGATGACGAACATGCCGCAATCACCCTACAATTAAACAATGTTGTATTAGCACATCGAAAATTAGTTAGAACCTAAGATGTAAATGACAAAAAGAAAATTACAAACACTTACGATATTTGCTGCCTCGTCGTCGTTGTGTTTCGCACGGTGGCCAATCTGTCTTGTACAGTGATGTTCGCTCGTCTAGCCATCATGGGAACGATCACAGACATCGACTCTAGATTTTGTTCGAGCTGACCTTGTGTTAGGCATGAATGATCGGGGTCGTACACATACATCGTGGAGTCGGTGAATACGATTTCCACTGCAATGTAGTGATGATTCACACATACTGGTACATACATATACGTACAGCCATCTCATGGCTTTCCACCGACACTCGGCCACATCCCTACAACCCATTTCATCATATATTTCGGCACCATGTACTTGCTACCCATAGCCTTGAACGACTGGTACTCAATATCAACGGCACGGATAAACTCGGTGTTCAATATGAGTCTGTCAGGAATGTTGAACGATTTTGGATGTCTTTCAGCACGATCTCGTAGCAAATCCATGCTCAAGTCGATGTGCTACATCAAGAAACACCAATAAAGAAAGGAGTTAATCTATGAATTGCATTCAAAAAATTGATTTTGAACATACATAATAAATAACAATATTTTCATTTCACTTACATCGTCGGCGAGCCAAGCCCCCGAAGTGGTGATGCCGTGGAACCACTTGTAAGCATTTGAGATCGTCTTCTCATCAAATCGTGCGGCTGGCCCTAAAAAAATAAGAATAGAATTTTTAGTTATAAGAAGTATACATGTGTCAGCGTCAGCGTCTGCGTCTGCGTACTATACTAATTACATAACATACAAAACTTACCCAGGCTGCAGTGCTCTCCACTCTGTCTCAAAGGCTTTCCACTTGGCGTGGTCCACCTCCCTGAATAAATTCGGGTGCGTCCCATCGACGAACCTTCTCCTCTTCGCCTCTGCAGTGAAGGGAGAAAGAACGTACTGTGATGGCACCCTTGGCCTCTTGTCGACCACCCGCTCCACCACGTCAACAGCCATCGTCCTCTCCTCATGCGTCTCGGGAATCTCCATCTCCCCAGCCATCGAGACGACCCCCTCGCCCGCTATCGGGACCACCTCCTACGACACAAAGACCACGGTCGGCGAGTCTGGCGTCTTCTCGGGTACCACCTCCACCTCCGGTACCCTCTCCTCCTCCAGTGCCCCCTCGACATCCCCGGGTATCCCGTGCATGGGTATGACCTCCAGCTCCAGTACCCTATCCTCTTTCGGTGCCCACTCAGCATCCCCAGGTATCTCCTGTACGGGTACCACCTCCACCTCCACCTCCACCTCCGATGCCCCCTCGACGTCCTCAGGTATCCCCTGCACGGGCACCCCCACCTCCTCGGGTATCCCCTCTGCATCGGGTGACGTCATCTCGGGTACCACCTCCACCTCCATCTCCGGTACCCTCTCCTCCTCGGGTACCCCCTCCACGTCCTCAGGTATATCCTGCACGGGCACCCCCTCCACCACAGGTATCCTCTCTCGCTCCTCCATCCCCATCGTGTCATTTAAAAATAAATCAAATGCAGCAACTGATGGTCACAATGAGTCAACATACCCCATCTGACCCCTCCCCCCTGATAACCACCTACCACTCCGTCACCCCCTCCGTCCCGATAACCTCCAGTCCCTCCGTCTCGATAGCTACCAGTCCCTCTGTCACCCCCTCCGTCCCGATAGTGACCTGTCCCTGTGCTACCTCCTCCATCTCGATAATCGCTCATCCCATGCAGGCCTGCTATGTCACCACGTATCGCTGCAACCTCAGCATGAAGGTCTCCTAACCCAGCTCGTAACATCACGACATCATATTGTAACTGTGCCATGTCCCCGAACTCAGCTCGTAGTGTCACGACATCATCCCGTAACTCTGCCATGTCTCTTCTCATCTCCATTAGGAGTTCGAACAAATCAATCGTCGAAACACGGGGACTAGGTGCAGGAGGCGATACTGGACGACGCTCCTGAAAAAATAACTATTACAAATGAATAACCTAACAAATAAAATAAAACGACAATCGAAGAATTATTTTTAAGTAATATACTCTATCTCGATCAATGCTGGACTCAGGCATCTAAACCTCTGGCGTAGCTGGACGTGATCTTCTCAACGGATGTGACATCCTCGTTGGACGTGCTTTCCTCGGTGGAGGTGATATCCTCAACGGAGGTAGTACCGAACGATCTTCTTGAAAAAATAAATATTACAAGTGAAGCACTTAATTACAAGATCAAAGCGATATTCAACAAATCTTGCACAGTGATACACCCTATCTCGATCCATCCTGGACTCAGGCATCTGATCGTCATGCGCAGTACGAAGAGGCAATTCGCGAATATAAAACTAACTCTCCTCCTCGATCGACGATGCCAATTCCGTGAGAACTTCAAACTGTCAGTTTGATATGTCACAGTTAATGACTATGTATTCAGATTGTAAAAGGACGTACAACATAAATAGCAATTGTATAATACGTACCTCAGGATCGTCGAGGAGAGCCGATAACTGTCTGGCAAGCGGCTTGTCTTGTGCTCGCCAGTGATGCATCCGAGGATAGCGTGTCTCTCCTCTCCTCGCATACCGACTGGCCAAGATGAGGACAGTCTCGTGCACCCATATCTGAAACAATTACAATTATTATGTATAGAATTCAATAAAAAAATGTAGGTAATTCATTAACTTAAACATATACCTGCAGCGCCAACGGCAGTCCATATGCATCGTACTTGTGCTCGGGCTTATCCCCCTTTGGCATTGAAAACCCCTTCTAGACACGCGTAATGTATCAAGAAAACATCTCCAACTCCATGGGTAGTTGTTGAAGGCATCAATATCATCAACAACCTCCAAATAAAAAAATGTCAATCGATGTCTTCTTGTGATGACACCGGAGTATGCTCTCGATGATAAGCACCAACCCTAACTTCAACCTATCAGACATCCGATCACATCTCCTTAATGCATCTCCTAGCTGCGCTAGAGTAACCGTCGTCTGTCCATGAAAATATTCATTCAACAGCCTCCTATTCCTCAGAACACAGGCCCTCGCCTCTGCATCGTCCGTACATAGCAGTCCAGTGACTAGGGCAAACTCAAATATAGAGAACGTGGCTACCTTGCCCCCAAGATCAAAATGGAGGGCGTCTCCGTCAACTGGCTTCAGTAAGCGACATAACAGGGCATCCAGCAGCTGCCCAGACCACTGTACATCACGCAACGAATACAATGCCTCAGAACACAGGCCCTCGCCTCTGCATCGTCCGTACATAGCAGTCCAGTGACTAGGGCAAACTCAAATATAGAGAACGTGGCTACCTTGCCCCCAAGATCAAAATGGAGGGCGTCTCCGTCAACTGGCTTCAGTAAGCGACATAACAGGGCATCCAGCAGCTGCCCAGACCACTGTACATCACGCAACGAATACAATGGCCATAAGCATGATCGACGTAATATATCTGCGTGATCGTCGTCCAGCAAATCCAATACCAAAGCGAAGCTGGTAAAGTTACAATTCGAGGTAACTTTACTAGGGATTTGTCTGACAGCGTCGTCCAGATAATATTTCATCCTACAAAATTTCCAATATTAGAACCCTATGCAAATGATGTTCGATAAACAAAAATATTAAAAAAATATACTAACACACTGCTACTAGAATATCACTTATTTCATATTTACAAATTTATTTTAATTGCTTCATAAAAAATTAATGTAATTGACATTTTCATATCCTAATTTAATTGTTTATTTTTATTATTTCACAAATGTTTATATATTTATTTAAATTCTTTATGCATATTACTTATTTAACATGTAATTAATTATTTTAATTATTTTAATAGCACTTATTTTGATCGTTTATTTTAATATTTTAATTATTTTTCTAACACTTAATTTAGTTTTTTAATTTTAATGAATGTTTAAATACTAATTTTAATTCTTTACGCATAATGCTTATTTCATATTTACAATTTTATTTTAATTGCCTTGCAAAAAAATTATTTGATTGATATTTTAATTTTCAAAATTTAATTGCGTATTCCTTTTTTTTTTTTTACAAATGTTTATATATATATATATATATATATATATATATGTTATTTAATATTTAATTATTTCTTTAATTATTTTACTATCACTTATTTTGATATTTTAATTGCTTATTTTAATTTTTTTTTCTAACAGTTAATTTAGTTATTTATTTTTAATGAAGTTTTAAAACTTATTTTAATTATTTACAAATGTTTAATTTCAAATTTAATTGCGTATTTTTATTGTTTTACAAATGTTTAAATATGTATTTAAATTTTATATATATATATATATAATATTTAATTATTTCTTTAATTATTTTACTATCACTTATTTTGATATTTTAATTGCTTATTTTAATTTTTTTATCTAACAGTCAATTTAGTTATTTATTTTTAACGAAGTTTTAAAACTTATTTTAATTATTTACAAATGTTTAATTATGTATTTAAATTCTTTATATATATCTTATTTAATATTTCATTTTTTAAAATTAATTTAGTAGCACTTATTTTTAAATGCTTATTTTAATATTTTAATTATTTTTCTAACACTTAATTTAGTTTTTTAATTTTAATGAATGTTTAAATACTAATTTTAATTCTTTACGCATAATGCTTATTTCATATTTACAAATTTATTTTAATTGCTTTTCAAAAAATTAATTTTTTTGCTAATTTAATTTTCAAATTTAATTGCTTATTTTTATTATTTTACAAATGTTTAAATATTTTTTTAAATTCTTTAGATATATTAATTATTTAATATTATATTATTTCTTTTAATTTTTTACTATTACTTAATATAAAATAATTAATTAATCTAAATTAGCAACTAATAAATATTTCGATAAATAATATAACATTTACATCTTATATTTACTAATAATTTTAAATACATATTACACATTCAAATTAAGCAATTCAAATAAATAATTACATATTAGAGAACACAATATAAGTCATTACTAATTATTTAATTAAATTCAATAATTGCCCAATTGATTGGTATAGGGCGCCCAACTGGGCCATCTGGACGTCCGGGCCGGCTTAGCGCGCCCAGAGGCATGCCCAACTCTCTGGCTTCCATTTCCGGCTGAGGAGATCGCCGGAAAACTCCATTTTCGATGATCTCCACTCCTTCCCAAGCAATAACAATCCAAATTCCATATTTACACAAGGATTTCTCAACAAATATATATAAAATCATACTTTTTTCCAAAAATAAAAATATAAACATGGTTTTTTTTGGTATAAATTTCTTACCTTCTTCAGAGAGAAATGGCCAACTGGGTCTCATGTTTTTCCTTATTTGTCGGTGATTGGGTCGACTGTGCTACAGTACTTTTCCTTCTCGGCTTCTGCTTCTTTTTCCTTGCAGTGAGGGGTAAAATTGGATTTGTCTTCATTTTTTTTTTTATTTTCACTATTTTAAATAATTTTGCCTTTTTTTTTCTTTTTTTTCACTGATCAAAGGTCATTTTGGAAAACTGGCCGGGTCAAACGGCTGTTGGCCACTAATTCCTCTCCTTGGGATCTCATTTGAATGAAAGGAGGGTAAGAAAATGGCCAACTGGGTCTCATGTTTTTCCTTATTTGTCGGTGATTGGGTCGACTGTGCTACAGTACTTTTCCTTCTCGGCTTCTGCTTCTTTTTCCTTGCAGTGAGGGGTAAAATTGGATTTGTCTTCATTTTTTTTTTATTTTCACTATTTTAAATAATTTTGCCTTTTTTTTTCTTTTTTTTCACTGATCAAAGGCCATTTTGGAAAACTGGCCGGGTCAAACGGCTGTTGGCCACTAATTCCTCTCCTTGGGATCTCATTTGAATGAAAGGAGGGTAAGAGGTGAAGGGGAAGAAATGATTGACATCGAGCAAACTGAACCTTTTAGACAAGTATCTGATTCTATTTCTGATTCTGAAAATGAAGTCTTGGATGAAAATGCCACAGTAGAATCACCCAGCACCATGGAATTGTTAACATAAAGACCAACCAAAGAGGATTTTTATTCAGAATCGTTCAATGGCTTAAATATTTCGATTGATAAAACTAGTAATTCACACGTCTCAGCAATTGGAGTTACAGCTCCAACGAATTACAATGATGGTGATGAAGTTTCTGGGAAAACCACTACTGCTTTCACATCACACCTGGAGGATCTTATTGATAGAGCTCTTGAGCTTGGATCTGCTACTGTATATGCGAAAAATTATGGACTCCAGTCTTCCCAAGGGGAATCAGGGGAAGAACAAACCAAGGAGCAAATAAAGAGAGAAAAACCTTATATTTCCAAAGCTGAAAGAAGAAAGATTAAGAAGGGTAAGAAAGATAATACTGAAGGTGCTTCCATTTACCATGAAAAAGAAGTGGAAGAAAATTGTGCTGAAAAAGATAATACTGAAGTTGAGACTGTTGACCTTGAAAAACAAGAGGTGGAAGAAAATCATGACACCACAAGTTACCCTGATAAAAATGTTAAAAAAATCGAAGCCAAATGGTGCCAAAATTAGTCGTGGACAGAGAGGTAAACTGAAGAAGATAAGGGAGAAGTATGCAGATCAAGATGAGGAGGAGCGAAGCATCCGAATTGCTTTGTTGGCTATAAGTATTGCTAAGTTATAATTCATCAAATCCAGCTACTAGGTTTGGATTGTAGTATTGTAAGATTCTATCAAATACAATGATAACTTGAACTTAATTGCTTTGTCCCAAAAAAAAATCTGAAAAACGAGCTATATAAAAAGTTCAATATGCACACATCTATATATATGATGTTAGAAAGTTCCCTTCCCCCTTTGAATTGAGGTTCTGGTTATACTAAAAGAGAAGGGAATTATGGTCATCAATAACTTGCAAAGAAACAGGTAATCTTATTACTGGTACCTTATGAGTTGCTGATATATTGATCTTACAATTAATCTACAGCTTGCTGGGAGATCGAAAAAGAACAATGTGATGTCTGAGGATGAAAAGCCCACTCCATAAAGGAAAAGCAACTACCAGTAAGATTTTGGTTTATATCAAATAAAAAAAATGGTTATGTGCATTCATTTGCTAATCACTTGGTTACTTGCTGAAAGTAAACACTGTGTTTATTTGGTCTGACAATACTGCTTGCTGCCTTGGGAAAAAGTGTGCTGCCTTTGTACAGAGCAGGGCGTTTATTTGTTGCCAGATAATGTCGAAAATTATTCATCTTTACTTTTCTGCAACTCAAGAATTGGCTTACAAATTTGATTGTATTGAATTTATTGAAAAAACAATTAGGTTCAGTATAGATATTGGAATCAGATTTTTTGACCGAACATAAATCGTGCCAAAGGTATTAGTCCCCAGATTATGTGGCCCGATTGTATTTCCAAATAATTGAGAACTATGGTTGTAGTCTAGATTATTGGATCTGCGCATTATGCTCCAGTGAATAGATAATTCCATAATGCATGACCAGCCCCCCCTCATTTGCAGAAACTGGAGATGCTTCAAAAATTTGTTACAAATGTAAAAAGGCAGGTCATTAGTCTCAAGATTGTCTAGAGCAGCCCGATGAAACGGTGCTTAATAATGCAAGTAGTAGAGGGGACAAGGCTTCCAATGGGATGGAAAGGGTGACCATGGAAGAAGATGATATTCATGAGATTGGTGAAGAAGAGAAAGGGAAATTAAATGATGTGGATTACTTGACTGGAAATTCGCTGCCTAATGATATCTTATTGTACGCAGTACCTGTCTGTGGTCCTTACAGTGCTGTACAATCATATAAATATCGAGTCAAAATTCCAGGAACATTAAAGAAAGGAAAAGGTACCTATATTTAGTAGTTTATTCTTTTCAAGATAGATTTTGTTACTTGCCACTGTTGAAAATATATTCTCATGGCTTCTCCCCGTCTGCTGAAATTGGAAGGTTCTTTTGGTTTCAAAGAATTTCAGAACTGCGTATTTATTTTGTTGCTGATGTTGAAGGGCTATTGCTTGTGGGAGTGGGACATTACTTTCTTGTCTTTTTCGGTTTCTGTTATTGCTTAGTTTACCCCTTCTTTTTTCCCATGAGCAGTTCATATTGACTTTTGCTGCTACTATTATGCAGCGGCAAAGGCAGCCATTAATTTATTTAATCACATACCGGAGGCTACAGGCAGAGAGAAGGAATTAATGAAGGCTTGTACAGATCCTGAGCTTGTTGCTGCTATTATTGGTAATGTGAAGATTTCAGCAACAGGCCTCACTCAGCTTAAGCAAAAGCAGAAGAGAAGCAAGACAACAAACGGGGGAGATAGCTAATTAAGCTTTGTTCATAAGTGCCTCTTATGTTGAATGCCTTTATAGGCAGTCAAAAATGAAGATACACATTCAAAGGACTGGAATATTGTATGTATCCACGCAGAAGTTTACACACAAAATCTGGGAGTCTATTGAAGAATTTGACTGCTAGAGATAAGATTCTCATTGCATTATGAATTCTCGTTGTATTGATTTTGACACGACGAGCAGTAAATGTAGACATGGAAGAAAATGAATAATGTGGGATGGAGATGTTAATAGACGACAATCTACTGACAAAGGCTAAAAAAACATTTTGCCTAAATCCTCATAAGATAAACAATAAATGCAGGCGCTACTCCTTAAATCATTTTTCAGCCGGGGGGATATCACTTAAATCTAAACCTTCTGCAGGCAAGTCTGAAGTCATAGGTCCTAAGATCCCATCAGAGTTGATGGTCAATACACTCTGCAAAAGCAGAGAAGAATAATATCAACTTCATAAAGGTGCATTAACTAATCAACATGGTCTTGTATGATATTCAAATTAGACGGGGTATAATTTAAATCCATTCTATGGTGATAGAAACCTTCATGGTTTCTTCTGGCTATGAAACAGAAATGGCCATCCAACATATTGATGCTGTGATTCTATTATATTCTCGGGTTCCTTCTAGATTAGTCCAAATGCTTATGTGTTGGTTATTTATTTTCATTTTATCCCTTTATTTAGTCCCTAAACTTTTGATTCTTTTTTTTTTTTTTAATTTCTTTTTCAATCATTGAGTTTCATCTAACAAATGAAATATACAAGAAAGTAGGCTATAATAATGGAAAGAACTCCTAAATTTTCATATTTAAAGGCCCAAATAAATGCATAAAATACACTTATTAAACACCCGCAAACTTAAACATCTATTTTTCCTCAAAGAAAGCTATAACCTAACTCAACAAACAAACATGCAATAAAATTTTGGTTAGATAACTTCTTGTTTTGTCTCAAGATTGAAATTATTACATCAACTTCATAAACAACTTCAAGGTCACAATACCCAAATCAATATCAACTTTTCTAATGTAAAACTGATGTGTGTGAAGAATTGAGTGAAACATCATGAACTTATAAGTTGCTTCAATTTGCGACCCTCAATGGTCAAATTTGTATTTTCTTCTCTCGTAAGATTCACACACTTCAAATTTATTCTTTTGATTCTTTTCCCAGTGTTTAATCTAAGGTTGAATTTTTATACTTATCTTCATCCTTATTAGTTTAGATGGGTCTCACTAATTATAAGTCAATACTTCATCAAATAAGGGTTCTTCAAATTTTTGATTGCTTCTGTTAGAATTAGGATGTGACCTGAATTCTATTTGAATACTAGTTAAAGTCTATTTGAAATTCTAATTGGGAGTTTGGAAGTCATTTTGAACATGAAGGACACTTGAAGGAGTCCAATTTGTAATAAGAGAGAAAACATTGCTAACAAGTGCTCGCTATGTGCTTAGCTCTTGCTCGAGTACCCAGAAAAGAAGTATTGACGCTCGATTTTCATGAGGCTTCTACTCAAGCGATAGGCCAATGTTTGACAGCTACGAGATCGTCGCTAATCAGTTGAAGATTTTGGCAATTTTTCTTCATTATTGTATAGACTTAATTATAGTCGAACCCCGTCACATCTTAAACTTTTCTTGCACTATAAATATGAAGAGTAAACTTCAAGAAAATTCAATCCTTACGTTATAAACAATAATTTGTAATTTTCATAATTTATATTAATAAAGTTCTCTTCTTTTGTTCATGGTATATTTTTACCACTTAAATATTGTGTTCTTGTTTGATTATTTTTCATATTGCCATATTATTATATTCGTTCAATTCCTAATAAGTGGTATCAAAATATATATAATTCTTGCTAATTTGCTAGTAGCTTTAACCTCCAAAAATCAACTAAGCTAATAAGCTCTTGCCGAAAGTCTAATTTTTCAAATAAGTATCTAGAGCTTAATCAAGGCATGTTGTGCGTCTTCTGTTTCATGCACATGCTTTTCAAATTTGTTGTGCATATTCTGTTTCATGCATAATCTTGATCCCTTTTGAGTATTCTTTTTGGGATTTTCAATAATTGTCCACATTGAGATCTTTTAGGGCAGCTTTACAACATGACAATTTTTCTCCTTTATGCAATGATGCAATGTCCCTTATTAAACACTCATTCTAAAAAATCGACATCTAAATTAAGATTTCATCTAATTTTCAACTCATCGATTTTAGACAATTCACACAAGAATTTATACACATGAAATCTCCATTCATATAAATATCTTCTTACAACAATTCAACCACTCTCAAAATATGTTAAATTTGGTCTAAGTAAGTATAATATAGTAATATTTGGATTTAGCATTTAAATTCTACTACTTCAACTTGAAGCACAATCAATACATTTTTTCACAGCGTTAAGCTCAATTCACTTGCCAAATAGTATCAAGTTTTACATGAATAAGAATCAATTTATCTAAACAAATAACATATTCATAGTTCATAAATCAACACGTAGTTTCAAATATATTCATCATGTCGATAAGACTACATACCTAGCACACACAAGCACGCAATAAATAAGTAAATATTTTTGAATTTTTTATTATTTTTAAACTTCAAATTTTCTCATATGTAATAAACCAGTAAAAAACACACAAGTACAAATAATCAAATTAAAAACTCAATATTTTTTCCCAAATATAAAAGTAAAAATTTAGTTTAAAAACTAGAATATGGCATGTATGAGAACCCGTTATTTTGCTCTATTGGAGCTTTGGAAAATGTGTCACCTGTAAGTATTATGCCCTAGGTCCAATCAACTTTGGACATAAATACTTTTATATATAATTAATGCAATTAAATGGCAGATCTATTATTTAATTAATAGACAATTAAATAAATAATAGAGTCCGTAGATTCAAACAATTGTAATTTGTTAATCACAAGGAGTTGTGATTGTGAGATATAAATTACATCTGATTGAATCTTAAATCTTCCGTGGTCGTAAGTAATAACGAGATACGGATATCGTTATTACGGATAGACCATCAATAACGAGATACGGATAGACCATCACATGTGACATTTCTTACTTGTGAAGTAAGTAACTGATCTCACAAGTTAAAGTGTGGTGACACTTAAATGAACATGTGGATGTTTTGTTATAGAACAAAATATTGGAGACCCGTCGAGAGATTCCACATGGATAACTATCTGAGTGTCGGTGGTTAATCTCTAACGTTCGGTAGTGAAATTGGTCCTTTGACTTGAGGTCGTCATGGTACCTTATATGAGGACAGTCATACTTTGGCGGTGTTGGATGTTGCTCTGAAAAGGGCCGCTAATACGACATCGTTCGGGTACGTCAAGAATCGTATGAAGGTTGTGATTGATCAATAAAGGATTCGTCACTCTTAGATAGTAGGAGATTATGATCTGCGTTTCATCCAATTAAGTCAATGATCAAATCCTTGGCCAAGGTGTACTCATAAGTCGAAAAGGAGTTTTCGATTTATATTGACTTAATAGTGGAGTGAAAGATATGATCAATGATCGAGATTGACACAACTCCATATCTCGTAATTGATATGATCATATTGACGAAGGGATTATAATTTCACGGTAAACGAACGAATTTGGTTTTGTCATACCACGTGACATTTCCCGTCACATGTATTGCCCTGACACATTGTTAGATGTCAATTAGGGACGGCGAATGTGAATTGACGATAAATTAAAAGGGTGTTTTAATTTATCAATTTTGATTAGATCAGAATAATATTTCACGTCGTTAAGCATCGTGGTCGGGAACCAATGGGTCACACACAAAAGAGAATTGGAAGATTGCAAAATTTCCAATTGGTTAATTTAACAATCGTTGGATAAATTAATTAATTGGATTTGTTATTTATATTTTCGAATTAATTAATTGGATTAATTAATTCACGGACCGGATTTAATTAATTGGATTAATTAATTCACGGACTGGGTTTAATTAATTGGATTAATTAATTATTGGACCGGACCGGGCTGAGCCTGTTTGGGTTTATATAAATACATAACTAGGGTTTGAGGTCCATTAAGGTTTTCATTATTCTTGCTGGCACAAGAGAAAACCCTAGAGGCTGCAATCATATTCTCTGTGTGGATCACCGTTGGAGGCTGGACAATTGGACAGCTGTGGTGGCGAATCAAAGTTGTGGAACGAAAAGAAAAGCAAAAGGATTGCAGACCGGAAAAGGTACAATCCTATCACAATTTCTATCTAAACACAAAGGCGATTCTTGGTGGGAATCTAAAATTATTTTAAATTCCGCTGTGCATGTATAAGTAAATTCCCAACATCACCTGCATATTTAATTGAATATAAAAGAAAATGGAAACAAACCAACTTGCAAATCTGTATCTTACCTTGATAGCTCTAAAGAAATTTTTTGATTGCACGTTCCAACTTCTCCTAAATTTCTCTGCTTTGGATATTTAGTGGATATCTTGTTTCTAATTTCAAAAGAGTAATTGGAACGGTCATGTTTTCTGATTCAGAAGATTGGCTTTAGGTAGTGATATTTTACTTATTCTAATGGCATATATATACTGTAGTCTATTTGTTGATTCCTAATGAATTTAGAATTAGTTTTGATGTTTATCCCAATTAAATTGGATTTAGGATTAACTAAAAGATTTGTATTAATTATCAATGATTAATCTGCCCATCACTTACGATATCTAATTGGGATTAGTTTCATAAATGATCCTCCAATAAATTTCTATTACATTGACAATATTAAGATTTTGTTTACTCTAATAATATAAATAAACAATACACACATGTTCCCTGATTGAGAGATGGATTCAGTGGATGAATAAGTTAATTAATTAGTTAGGATGATCTTTTTCCTTGTTTTACTTTGTTTTGATCTAACTTGATTTCATCTTATCGAAAATAACTTTTTCTCGTGTCAAGGACTACTAATGAATTACGACATTCAAAATGAGTCCAATATCGATAAATCAAATCTTGTTCCATCATTATCTAATTTTTTAACCGAAATAAAATAGAAATTAAAATCCTATTCCATTTTTAATCCTAACTTTTCTAAATATAAATATATAATAATACAAAATAAATAAATTTATATCTATAAAATTTCCAAAA